CGCCCGCCCGCGGCCCCGGCACAAGTTTCTCAAACTGTTCCCCCCGCAACAACCGCCCCCCCACCCCGGCCCCTCGGGTGGGCTCACGTCCCCGTCCGGCCCCGCGCACTTTCTCGCCTGTAGCCCTGCCCTGGGCCCGCAGACTGCCCCTGCCTCGGGACGAGACGCTGTTTCCTCCCCCATCCCTTCCCCTTGTGCTCCCGGAGTTGGTTCCCGCGTGGGACAGGACAGGACAGGAGGGGACTAGCGGGTTACACACACACGCTGCCTTTTGCTGTATGCCCGCGACTAGGATGCCCATTTGACTGTGGCTTTTAAGAACTGGGGATTTATTTTTATTTTTTGGGGGTGGGGAGGTGATGTTTAATCTACTCTGCACACGTATAGTCAGGTCTGATATCAAGGAATAAAACCCTTCAGGAATACCACACTCCTGTGGCACATCCTACAGGCTTCACTAACCCGAGTAATCCCCAGGTGGGCTACTTGGATGGCTGGAGTTTGTGGAGCCAGGCTGGACTGGCGTGTAGGCATCCGCATCGTTACAGTTCGGTCGTGTTTAAAGGAAGGCTTGCAAGGGAATGGCTTTTGCTGCATGTCTGACAGAGAATAAGGGATGCATCCTGCCAGCCTCTGGAACAGGTAACTGCAAGCCAAGAAAGTTTTAGTGCTCTGTAATTTGAATTTTCAGCGGACCCACGCTGAGCAGAATTCATGTGTGTCTGTAGAAAGCAATGTAGCACAGAGACACTTTATGTTCATAACTGAGATGGTAACTTTTTTTTTTTTCTTCATTGAAAAAGGTGCTTCCTAGACTGGCCAGATCCTGAGTTAAATCTCTGTGTCTTTGTAGAGCTCTCCAGGCTGAAATGGGGCTCGTTATGAGTGACACTGATGTAGAATCAGGACTTCTGTTATGCACTGAGGATTTGGTCTGAAGTCCAGGGCAACATTGCAACAGACTTTTGGATTTGTGTCTTGGGGCTCAAACCCTACCGTCCTTACTCCTATTACTCATCCCAATTAAAACCAATGGGACCACTTGCTTGACTAGGATTGACTCACATGAGTAATGTTTATAGGATTAGGTCCCTGTTGGACACACACAGACCTCTCGTTGTGTGCTTTGGTTTTACACCTTTTATACTTTGATCTTTCCAAGCATAACTACTAAACCTGGGAGGAGCAGGCATTTTTAAGACCAGGCTTACTAATTTCCCTCCGGGAAT